CACTCCCCTTAAAAGTCCCCCCTCGTTTTGATCACAAGTAGTCAAACTATCTGAGCTGCGTCTACTGTTTCCTCTTTGAAGAAAAAAGTAGAGTTCAACTATATCTCAAGAGAGGTAGATATTTGATATCTGGACCTGTTATAGCTTTGGGAATGATTGATGTGGCTTGCTTGATCACAGAAAATTCTTCTGTTCTGTGGTGGTGTTTGGAAAGAGTTTATAATTCATATGTGGGCACTCATGAGTGTGATATACTTTTTAAGAATGTAAGGCAATCCAGATTCCTACTGAAAATTCTTGCCTACTCTATATAATTTTGTGATTCTCCACCTCTGAGTGAACCTTATGAGGAATCTCTTGAAGTGTTCAGAATGGGACATGTTGTTATCTATGTTTATATGTTGCTTAATGCACACTTTATTTATGTATATGTGTATGTGTGTGTGTGTGTGTGTGTATGTGTGTGTGTGTGTATACACACACACACACACACACACACACATATATATATACATACACATACACACACATATATATAGTGTGCATTAAGCAACATTAGCCTCAGCATCTTTCTTACCATTTTACAATGTACGTTTGTGGAGGTGTTTTCAGTGTGTGCTTCAGCTCTTTGGAATTCAATTGGAGTTAGCTATTTTAAGCTTACTTCTTTTTGACAAGTTTTCTCTCCACCCACCTCTATTTGCCTCCCAGAGGCATTAAGTTGAGGAACACTTTGAAGATGAAAATCATGAGCTGGATGCCAAGCATTAGTTATTACATTAGGCCTCAAGGGCTAAAAACATTGACATTAAAGAGATGTGTTTAATCATAAGGATTTCTTTTCCAGTAGAGGACGATCCTCATAACTTTCCCCCATCCTTATACAAACATCAATGTTATATAAAATTTGTTTCATTTTATTCCTATAGGAATTTAGCCATTGGGATTGGCATTCAGAATTTTCCAGAAGGGCTGGCTGTCAGCCTTCCCTTGCATGGGGCTGGATTTTCAACATGGAGAGCCTTCTGGTAAGCAAGTCAAATTGTTACTCCGGTGTTTCTTTGTGTTTTCTTCACTGTTATCTGCCTTAATGGTAGAACTAAAATGCATAAAAATGGCTTTGAGTCATACTATCCCTCTAATGCAAGGAAAATGCTGCTATTTCTGTTGTAAGTTCTCAAACTTTTTATTCAGTGAGACGATTTTATGGTCTCTGAAGAGCCGCTTGTGCAAATGGAGTTTTCTGCCAAATATTTTATGATTTCATTGAAGGCATTGATCTTAGCTTTTTACCCAAATGAAGGATAAAGGGCAGCTGCAGGTGGTGATCTGAACTTAAAAAAAAACAACAACGCACCAATAGCAGTACAATCTTATGGTTTTTATGATGTTCCATGCAAAAGGAATAATTTTTCAAGTCTGTCTCATCATTGCCTGAACTGGGTAAACAGTACAATTGAGGAAGAATTTGCCAATTTTTTCATGACGTTTGCCGCCTACAAATGAAATAAACTGCTGGGTCACACTGGGCTTTATTTTTTTACTGTCAACTGATCCAGACCTGATCCACTCAAGAAATGTTTGTTATAAAGTCAGAAAATTGGGCACCCTCCAAATGTTTTGGATTTCATCTAATAGCACCAATCAGCATGGCTGGTACCAATTAGTTGTTGGAGTTATAGTTCAAAATATACTCAGTTTTCAACACTGATCCTAATGCCCACATTCTAATGCTTTGATGAATCTACACCTGAGGGCTCATGTGAGGACCCCTCGATGCCTCTATACACTTTATACACATCCTGTAATGAGGCTTTATTTCTCCCGGGTTGGTCTGTCATATTAATTTCCTAATTTTTGCCCCCTTCCAGTTTTATCTAACAGCATGGATTTGAAATTTTGATTTAAAAAAAAATCATAAATAAACTTAACCACACATTCTCCAAAGCCCTCAAATTGCTCTCCCATATACCTGCTAACACATCTGCATGCTATACTAGTCAGAAACCTTCTGGTGAAAAGAAGAGACTCAATGTCACCAATTGAATGCCCTCTAGATGTATTAGGCTCACGATGGCGAACCTATGGCACGCGTTCCAGAGGTGGCATCCAGAGTCCTCTCCGTGGGAGGGCATGCCATCGCCAGCTGCTCTTCTGGGTTCTAGCATGTGCATGCACACTGGCCAGCTGGTCTTCACACAAAGACCAGCTGGCTGGTATGCATGCATGTTCCGGAACCGGGAAGAGACCTGGCCAGTGTGCATGCATGATGGACCAGCTGTCCGACGTGCATGCGCGTGACAGAACCCAGAAGAGCAGCTGGCCTCCACGTGCATACACACCAGTCAGCTGCTCTCTTCTGGGTTCCAGCGCTCTGGTGCACATGTGCACGGTCCAGTTTTAGTACTCTGTTAGCCATCACTCTGTTAGGCCAATTGCATAAGAATATGCAGAGAAGATGATGGTCCTCATTGGGATTTTTAGATCTCTTAAGTGACGTGAAGTCTTTAACCTGAAAGTTTCATAGAGAAACAAAGTGGACCAGGTAAATTAGGAATATTACATGCTGAGGCAGGAGAGAGAGTGGGGGAACAGAGAGGGGCTGCCTGATGTTCTCATCTTTCCTCCAGAACTTTTGGTCACTTCTCAGTCTAAAGGAGGGATGATCTCCTAGATGTTTGCTCAAGAAAGACTTGGAGAAGCTTCTGTTTGTTTTTCAAAGGCTGATAAACATCCCTGACCCCACAGAAGAACTTGGCAGAGAGGAGGGAAAGAGCTGATCCTATATTGACTCTGAGTCCTCCAAAGGGTGGCAGTTGAGGGGGAAAACAATCCACTGCATGTAGAAGGAAAGAGATCCTTTGTCTCTTGAGTGACATTTTGCTCCACTTGCTTTACAGGTATGGGCAGTTAAGTGGCATGGTGGAGCCCCTAGCTGGCATCTTTGGTGCTTTTGCCATAGTGCTAGCAGAGCCTCTCCTCCCATATGCTTTGGCTTTTGCCGCTGGAGCAATGGTGTATGTAGTGATGGATGACATCATCCCAGAAGCACAGATCAGGTGAGGACCTGGTTTATTTGCATCTGATCAACTTTAAAATCCTAGAGGTACAATGCAATCTAATCCACTTAATTGAATGATTTTTTTTCTTAGATTAGTAAATAATCATTAGTAATTAGTATTCAGTAAGTAGTAATAATCAGTAATTAGTAGTAATCAACTTAATAATTAGTAATAGTTGGTATTACTAATTAGTAATTGATAATTATCTATTTAGTAATAATCTACTTAATAATTAGTGACAGTCGTACTAAACAATAATTAGTAATCTGCTTAGTAATAATTACCTCTTTGTTGACCCTGTATTGTTGACCCTCTACACTTATATCCAGAATACGTTATTGAAGGAGCTAGGAGCAGCAATTAACTGAAAAATCACAACTTCCATTAGTTTGAGGATCAACTTTATCAGCACTTGATTGGAGTCAACTAAAAAAAATAAATCAGAAATTGCATTCTGTCTTCAGTAAACTACTTTACTTTGGAAGGACACACAACTGTTTGTTTTCTGCAGTGGTGAAGGGAAACAACCAGAGCCTTTGTGTATCACAACCAGATGGGTCACAAATGGACCAAATGGCTTTCTTATGATTTGTCTTCAGTTTTCTCACTGAGCACAGATCACTCCGAGTAGCAATCTCATTACCAGCTCTCAAAGTAGAACGTTTATGTAACATCTACAGTACAGCAACTTCCAAATCTCTCCAACATTGTAGGGTCCTTCCCAGTGGTGAGTTTTAAAACATTTTCACTACTGGTTTGGTGGGCGTGGCTAAGTGGGGACATGTGACTGAGTGGGCATGGCCAACTTGATGTCAGTCACGCCCATGCCCACTCAGTCACATGACCCCCCACCAAGCCATGCCCACAGGAAAAGGTAGCAAAAATTTTGAAGTTTTTCTTTACTGTGCAAGGTTTTTCCCTGCACACAAAGGCTTGCAGTGGGGTGCAATTTGGGGGTGGCGAGTGGGGCAGGATATGGACCGGGCCGGGCCATGAGATGCACATCTTACCAGAGACTGGAAGCTCTGGATCTTGAAGTTTTTTCGGGGTTTTCTTTAAAAAAAATTGCCTCTCCCTATGAGCTTGAAAACTTTCAAGGTTGCTTCAGGAGGGGGCAGTCAAGCAGCATTCCCCCCTTCAGAGCCTCGGAGCCTGCAGCATTGGAGCAATTCCCGGCCCTTGCACAGTAAAGATAAACTTCTCGTCAGTGCAAGAAGTTGTTAATTGCCTCACATTCGTGAGAAGTTTTTCTTTTTCTGCCTCCATTCCTGCCATGGCTGCAACACCGACTGCTTTGGGAGACGCTAGCCAGGTGGGGAGTGGGGGCAGCCCAGCAAGCTTTGCAGCCATGTGGCTACAAAGCTTGCCAAGCTGGGCAGCCCCCTCCCCACTGGGCTAGTGTCTTCCAAAGCTACTGCCATTGCAGCCATGGTGGGGATTGGACAGGGGCAGCCTGGCAAGCTAGGCACCCGAAAATGGCATGGAGTTGCAGGCGAAGACCAGGAGGGGGGTGCAACATGCAGGAGGCTCCGCGCAGTTCCTTGGCTCGTCGAGGCTGCAGCTGATCCCACTGCCCTGAGCTGGCGAATGGAGGCATCACAGAGTGTGGCTGGGAGCATGCTAACCTTGCCCTCCCCGAGTGCCCAACTCAGCCATTACCATTGCCCCTGCCCAGTTCACTGCCGGCTGGCTCACGAGCTAGGAGGCAGCAGCTGGTTCCCCCTGCCCCCCGGATTGCCAACATGATCGTGGCTCTCCAGAAGCTGCAACGGCAGCAGCTTCGTCCCGACGGGGAGGGGGCCACCCGGCCTGGCAAGCTTCGTAGTCACGTGGCTGCGAAGATTGCCAGGCTGCTCCTGTCCCCACCGTGGCTGCAGCGGCTTCGGACGATGCTGGCCAGTAGGGGGGGGTAGGCTAGCACGAATGCTTACCTGTGTGTAGGCAGGAAGAGGCAGTTCTGCGGATGCACATGGTGAAAGCGAGGCAGGGCGAGCGTCCAAGCCAGTTTTGGGGCATGGCCAGCCTGCCCTCCCTACTGGTTTGGTGTCCCAGGCCCAATTTCCAATACCGGTTCGCCTGAACCGGTACGAACTGGTAGGAACCCACTTCTGGTCCTTCCATGTTTAAAAGGATTGTTCTGTGTTCAATTCTTGCTTGATCTTACCCAATAAAGAGAAGTTGTTTATGTATAACTGTAGCTCTCTAAATGGCCGTCTTGACTTCAAAAAAGTTCACCTAACCTCCACATTGAGGTCTGAGGATATCTGATAATTTTCTGAACTGACAGTTTAGACGTGAATGCTACATGTCAGGTAAAGCTCCTGCTAGAAAATTATAGGCTGTAGAGTACTACCTATATCAACAGTAGACTGTGCAAGTGTGGAACCCAATATTTTAATTTTGTAATAATTTCATAGGTAGTATTTATTTTGGTATAATGGCCAAATAGTAACACACATTAATACTGGGTATTATGGTATCAGTAGTCCAATATCAACAAATACTGTATTTCAGAATCACTTCATGGAAGCAAGGAAAATGTGTGTGTGCTTGAATCAAGATAGAATGAAGTATCCAAGCAGGAAACAGTAATTTGTTACTCCAGCCGAGCCCCAAAATTAATATAAGTCTGTATGGTAGATATACTGGGGTGAAACATACGAAACGTACAGGTGTCCTGAAAACTTTGAGAGCTAAATATTTAAGAATCAATTTACTCCTTGCAATATGAACAGCTTGCACAGAAGGAAAGGTAGACAAGCTTTTAGAAGTAAGTTGAGCACTTTTAGAAATCTTTCGGTTTCAAGAGGGGGATTTTTTAAAAAGTCTTTTAAATTCTAAAACTGTCATTCTTACCAAACAAACAAACAAAAAAAACATTATTGCCTTTTCTTTTTCTTTTTAGTGGCAATGGAAAGCTGGCTTCCTGGACAGCCATCTTAGGATTTGTGGTTATGATGTCCCTGGATGTAGGACTTGGATAATAAGAACTAATGCCTTTTCTCAAACTGACCTTCAAAATGCATCAAAACAGGGAATATTGCACAGTAGAAATTGCAACTGGACTAGTGTTTTATATTATTGTGCGGAACTAAGCTAGTATTGATTTAATTATATTGATTTTTGAAACTTGATCTTGGGAAGCAGGTTTTTTTGTGCATTTGTCCTTTTGCCCCTAATTAGTTCTGTTTCTTCAAGGCTGTTGGTTATAAAGCGTAATCATGAGTTTTCAAGAGGTTTTTTTCCCCTTTAAATTCTTCTAATTGTTGAGGCAGGTCTCTATAAATGTAACTGTCCAGTGTGGTCTATAATTGATGGCCTTTGCTGTATGTATGTGTGTTAGGGAACAGAGTGGGGCAGCCTCAGAGACCTTGAAGGCTTATAGTCTTCTATTGAAATACAGTGTTCAACAACAAAGGTGTGTTGAGTTGTTTTTTTTTCAGGGATTTGGAAATATTTACTTTTATAAGTTGCTGAAATAAATAGTATCCTTTTTTTAAACAATCAAGAGCATAGATAGGATTTTAGGAGATTTATTTGGACAGCAAGGCTGAATTGCTTATGTCCTCTTTACATATCCTGTACTAAACAGTCCTCAGCAGTAAATCTCTGCAGGTGGATCAATGAATAGTTGACAATGTATAGTTGTTCTGCATTGTCATTGCACGTAACAAAAGGCAATAAGTGTTTTGTTTCATTGTTTAAACCAATAATAATAATAATAATAGATCTGTTCTAAACATTTTTCCACCTTTAGGTATAAACGCGAAATGGTCTCGTGTTTAAAAAAAAACATACTGAGGAATTTCTGATGGATATAAAGATGATATGACTCAACAAAGGTTAATATAAACAAAATCATTTTTCCTGTGTAAGAAAATAATATCCATTCGGCCATACAGTCAGAATACATCTGAAGGACTAAACAATTTTACAGATCCAGCAAGAGAACTTAGTATATGTATGGAATGTACTTTTGATTCAGGACTGTTTGCTTTACATCTCCAGTATTTATTCTTCCAAATGAAACTTTGAGAATTGTGCTTGAAATCTCTCTTCCCAAATGTTACAGTGGGGTTCTTGCAAATGGATAAATACTGCCAATAGTAGCCCCATTCCTAGCCTGTAATGTAGTGGTAATTAGTTAGGCTTTTCTGATAATTCTTAGTGTTCCGGGAGAGATGTATAAACTTTATTGTCATTGTACTTAAATACAACGAAATTGGTTGGATTATAAGATGATCGCGTCCAGACCTAAGTGGATTCTCTAGAGTAAAGCTTTCTAAGAGCCATGCAACTTCCCTTAACTAGCAAGGATTCATGAACGAAATTAAATTATATAGAATTGTTTCTTCATTTTCAGGAGGGGGTTTGTTACTGCGCACAAAGACCAATGCAGAATGATGTTTGTAATTGATTTTTTAAAAAATAATCTGAATAAAAAGGGATCAATAATGTGTAATGGGCCAATTCTTTATTCTTCTATTTCCATCCCACTTCCTTTGTTTCCTGACTTTTAGTATATACTACTATTCAGACTCAAATGAATTCAAGTTTATCAGACCTTTGGTGTCTCTGCATGTGCTGCATTTGGTAGATGATATTTTTATTATAAAAATATAAGCCAGTGTCCATTTAATCATCTTAGTCAAGCTGATTCTACCCATTCTTATTGTTTACTGGCATGTGTAATATAGCTGTTTGAAATATCACCCAGTCTGCCTTCCTATCTATAAAGGATACATTGAAGAACGAGCCATTCTCATTAGAAAGTCTGCATTTCTGGCACTAGAAAACATCTGGCCCTTCGTTCCCTTACAGACCCATGACAGATGTTACTATAGTCCTTGTTCTACCTCAAGGTGCAAACTAAAAGCCAGTGGGAAAAAATTATATCAGTTGCACCCTTTGAAATGCCTCTCCTGTCTGTGACATCTGGTGTTCTCAATTTGTTCTTTCATAACAAGTTAAAAGCAATTTACCATCAGAAGTGTTAGTCTTAGGCAGTGGTTCCCAAACTTGGCAACTTTAAGACTTGTGCAGAGCTGGCTGGAGAATTCTGGGAGTTGAAGTCCACAAGTCTTAAAGTTGCCAAGTTTGGGAACCACTGCTCTAGGGATATAGAAATCTGAGCTATTTGTCCTGCCGTGGTTGTTTTGCAGAACTTCATTAATACAGAAGGCTTTCTGGGACCGTGTGTTTCAGTGGTGGGATTCAGCCAGTTCGCACCACTTGGGGAGAACCGGTTGTTAACTTTCTGAGTAGTTTGGAAACTGGTTGTTGGAAGAAATCATTAGGGCAGAGAACCGGTTGTTAAATTATTTGAATCCCACCACCGGTGTGTTTTGATTTCTGTTGATAAGTTATAGAGAAATGCTTAGAGGTTTCTAAATAAAGCAACTCCTGGAGGTCATTGAGTGATGCAGTGATATCTGGAAGATGGTGGAAGAGCTCTTGGGAGTTTGCAGGAATTAAAGGTAGAAGTGAGAAAGGAAGTTTGAGGGAACCACTGTGCTTCTATTCACAACATTAAAATCTGACCATTTTGCTGTGGAATTTTGAGGTTATGATCTGCAGGTACTAATTGCCTGGCTGTGTTACAGAGTAATAATGAATGAAATGTTTCATTGACTTCTGTTTGATCTCAGTTAATAATGTGTTTGAATGGGGTGACATGTTCTCGGAACCCCAGCCCTTAAAACCTGAGATAAAACCAGGAGAAATCCCTGAGGTTGCTTGCTTGTAACCTTGTACTTTACTAATAGAAGGTCTGGATGTGCCTGAGGAATCAGCTAGGATTTCACAGAGATGAAAAGAATGAGATTTGCTCTAGAAGCAACATAGGGAATGGCTTCTAGCCCTGCATCCATAGACCGACATTCCATCCTGCTTCTTGGTTAAACAACACCTGGCCAGGAATGAACAAAGAAGAGGGTTGCAGCCAGCCTGTTGAAGTGCTTTTCCGCACTGTTTCCTGCCCTCTTTGCTCTCTTGTTGCTGCTGAGTCAGTGAGGAAGCCTGTCAGGGCCAGCAAACTCTGTCTGCTTTTACCTGCATGGCTCTCCCTGGGCTGAGGTGGAACTTCTTCCTCAAGGGACCTCATGCGGCTACTTGATGTTTACTCATAAGGCGGGGGGGGGGGGGGAAGGTGTTGGTGGAGGAAAGGTGCAGCTCAGTGTGGTTGTGGTTTCTAGGGAGGAGGCAGGAACAAGAATAGCCAAGGAGAGCTTTGCACGCAACTAAACAATAATCTTCTTATTATAACTGATGCCGTAGAACAGCACAAAATTGACAAGGGCGCTCTTCATGCTGAAGCTGGAGGAGATGGCTGTACCTGAGTCACTGCTCGTAAAGGGAGGCTGATTTCACCTGCTAACCCAAGCTCTTCCTGGGGGTGGAACCCAGAGACAAAATGCTTTCTGTTCATAGTTGTTGGGGGTTTTAAGTTGCTCTTTGTTAGGCGCTTGGCACCAGAGTAGCAATTAAAAGTGAGACACGCAGAGGCGTCTGTCTCCCAAGTCAAGGGCAAAGGTTCTCTTGATTGCAGTATTCTTAGGACTGTCTCCTTTATGTGATTATAATTAATAATAGCGGATTTTGCCCAGGCAATATTGAAATCTACCCAATGCAAACTTAAAAGTGGCGTCAAGCTTAACAGGAAAAGGACAGCGGTCCATTTAGTGTAGAGGTGCAAACTCTTGGTGGCCAATACATGAAATGAGCGGGGGGCCCTCAGTGTCACCAAGTAAGACAAATTGGGGAAAAAGTAGGGAGGGATTTTGTTTGTTCAATTGCAGTGTGCCAGCTTTAAGGCTTGACCCTGAAATAATGAGAAACTGTGCACTGTGAACTTTTAAGTAATAATGATTAGAAGGAACTTGGCCACAAAAGCAGAATTTGGGTTGCATTTTTGCCCTGGAGCCACAAATCACCCCTGTAAATGAATGGAAGGATTTTATCATTTGTATATACTTTCAGAAAGACCCAGTGTATGTTTTGTTTTCAGTGGGTTGGCAGTGATACTGGACAATTTTTGCTGCCATCAATTGCATTTGTTAGGCAGAGGGTATCTGCAGGGGTGGGGTAAAGATGAAAGAAGGGGACTACAACTGCACAACCCAATTATTAACAAAGGGTTGTATTTATTTTGAGGTAGTCACCATGACATTTTAAACCTCCCCCCCATCTTTTAGATACTCCTGATTTAGCAATGCCCCCAAATATGGCTATCAAAAGCTTGCCTGACTCTGAATCTCTGATCAAAATTGCTTCAGTTATGTTGAGGATTGGCCCTGGCTAAATGCCTGTATATGATCTGAACTGTAACTCCTTTTCTGACACAAAGACCTGTACTTTCTATTTACACTGATATGGCTCACAAGATGCCATTTGATAAGGAAGCTTACTCAAGTGTAATCATATCCAAGAAGAACTTTGAGTCATGGATATGCAAAACCCATTTTTTGTGGGGTGGGGGGAAACCTAGCAATACCTCTTGCAGCTGTTGTGCGTGAGATGATCTCTGGTGGACTACAGACTTAATTGGGTACCCAGGAGTCTGAGGACAGGATGAAAGAGCAGATATAGCACCTTTTCCACTTTTCTAATTTTTTTACTTTCTTTTTGTTTGCCATCTGCATTGCATCTGGTGATTTTAAACAGTTGTCTTTTCCTCCATATTTCTCGTAATTTTGATTTGCTTTTAAGATATGGTCACCAAGGCATTTGTTTTCCCTCCAGTGCTGACTCTTTCAGTAAAGCAGATGTCAAAGATAACTCTTCAGGCACTACTCAAAACCCTCCAATGAAATCTCATAGCTATTATAAATGTCAGCAAAATGAGAGAGGGAAGCTATGGAGTTGGAGACATGCTAGATCTTGTCTAGAAGGAGAGTGTCAGAGGGTTGAACCCCTGGCACAGTTCATGCCCTCTGCTGTGAATCCAGGGACTTTAGCATGACCCACAGCTACCAAGCAAGCTGTACACTTAGTTAGCTGCTAAATAGGAGCTGCCATTGTTTTGTTGATTTTCATTCAATAGATTTCTTATATGACGAATCTAAAGAGACACTTTGGTCATTAAGTTGTTTATTGTTGGGTAATCTGTATATTACCAATGGTACTTGCTCCTGGGGAGAAAAGCTATGGCAAATCTAGATAGCATACTAAAAGAAACTTCACTGTGCCAACAAAAGTGCGTATAATCAAGGCTATGGTTTTCCTAGTTGCAATGTATGGCTGTGAAAGTTGGAGCATAAGAAAGGCTGAGCACCAAAGAATTGAGGCCTTTGAACTATGGTGCTGGAGAAGACTCCTGCAAGTCCCTTGGACTGCAAGGCGATCAAACTGGTCAGTCCTTAGAGGAGATCAACCCTGATTGCTTTTTAGAAGGCCAGATCCTGAAGATGAAACTCAAATAGTCTGGCCACCTAATGAGAAGGAAGGACTCACTGGAGAAGAGCCTAATGCTGGGAAAGATTGAGGGCAAAAGAAGAAAGAGACGACAGAGAATGAAGTAGCTGGATGCAGTCACTGAAGCAGTAGAGGATGGTAGGGGACAGGAAGACCTGGAGGAACGTTGTCCATGGGGTCGCAATGGGTCAGACACGACTTTGCAACTAACATCAACAATGGTACTTGTAACGGCATTGTATCAAGTTCTCTGAGGCTCTTAATTTTTTTATTTATATATTTCTAGTATATTCTAGGTCCTTAAAGAAGTGTTGAATATCTGAAAAAAACGGATCTGTGGACAGAAGTACATTAACTGTACTAAAACAAATTAGTTCCATATATATTAGGATTCTCATTTTCTCTCTCTGTAGACAAACTTCCAAGAAGAAGGAAAAGATACTAAGGTCTGAGAGTTCAGTCTAAGGGAACAGGTAAAGCTTACATTTTTTAAAAAGTCAGCATTGACATCAAGCTTTATCTTTTGAGTGCTCTAGAAAAGCAAACATAGAGTTTCATAAAATAATTTCTATTTTCCTGGTCCCATTTCCCCAGCTAGTCTTATTGCTCTGCAGTGGCATTCCATACTTGGATTGACTGAACTTTTCTTAGTGTGTATTATGCTTTAAAGGTCTTTTTTTATAGCACTGTTTCTCAAACTTGGATACATTAAGACATGTGAACTTCAACTCCCAGAATTCGACAGACAGCATGTTGAGGCCCACATATCTTAAACTCACCAAGGATGAAAAACAATGGACCCCCAGGCCACATATTGTGCTTATTTTATAATATGTTCCATTTCTGCATTATATGTTTTATATGTATAGAACATTTCTCTGAATGCACACCTAAATTTTATGCTCACTTTCCCTAGGATAAGTAAGTTTCTGTGTACAGTTTTGGAGGATGAAACTGCATTGCAAAATTAAAATAAAGGGCTATTTAACACATTGCTTTCTGCCTTTAGAATAGACATCTAAAATGCAGGT